GCTGGCTGGGGAATTCTGGGAGTTGAAGTCCTCCAGGCTTAAAGTTGCCAAGGTTGGACACCCCTGAGTTAGACAAAACCCTGGTGGACATTCCAGCATTTTTACTTGCTTTACATTGCTCCAACCCCATCCCTGCAGGCTCTTAGTGATGATGGACATTCAGGACAGGGTCTTTTCAATAAAAGCAGCTCAATTCTTTGCCTAAGGAAGTCAGATGAATTCCTTTATTGTACCTAAGATAATCCTGAAGAGTACTTTTCCATTAAACTTTTTAAATTGTTTCAATATTTATTAATTTGATTTTGATAAAAGGACAACAGTCTCACTTCAACTTAATTTCTAACTCACCTGGTTCAGTATTAGTGACCCAGACTATCAGCCATTGTCCCAGTATTCAGACAGAAGTTTGAATTTGAGAATTTTTTTCCATGAAAGCCAAGGTACTCTTTGTAGATGCTGCTTTGATTATCTTTTTGCTATTTTTTTTTTTTAAAAAATCAAGATTTACCAAGATTCCAAAAAGTGAAATAATAAATTTGGAAGCATAGAAACTTGATAGGAACCATCATTCAATTGCCTTCCATAGTCTTTGACTATAAATCAGTAAAACATTGAAATGAGTGAGATCCAATTCCATCTGCCTTAATTTTTTAAAATAGCTTTCTCTCCATCTCACTTCAAAATACTTCTTGAAACCGATTCATCCTCAAGAGGTAATAAGACCAGATTTTGTTATGTTTTATTTTTATGCATCATTGTTCTTAATTTTATGATTCGTGAAACTTTAGACCTACCAGCATAATGCTTTATTTCCATAAATAGTTACTTTTGGCCAAATGTCTTGCATCAAATGTTGTGAGACCTGTTTTTATGGCTTTTGAAAATGTTTTGGCTTTCCTTCTGGCTATGAAATAGTGGATCAGAATAAATGTTTTTCAGCTGGGCTTGATAGTGTTAAACTAACTCAGAATGTAAGCAGCTACCATGCTGAACTGGCCTAACTGATTGCTTCTTGTCTCTCCTTGTTAAACAGATCAGGACCACAGGACCTATCAAAAGCCTGTTACATCTGAAGAGGAAGGTTGCATGTTTAGATTTCATAAATACTAGCCATTCTACATTCTTTATAAGACTTGGTTATGCAGGTTTGGTTTATATGGAACATGCATAGCCACTGTTTATATTGCTGTGTGTGGACTATCCATTTTGAAGGATGGCACAGGAGATTCTTAACATGGATACTTTTCCTATATGGCGCCTTTATTATCATAGACGCAATGAATAATGGTTCTCTTTTTTGAAAATCCACCTATTTCATATGGAACAATGTTCCATCTCAGACAAAATCACCAAGATTTTCAGATAGGATGACCAGAGTAGGAAATTGTGGGACTTGTAGCACAACACATCTGGAAAGCACACATTTGGGGAAAGTCAATCTATCTCTCGGAGATTCCCATCCCTTATAACTTTTCTGGTTTTCTTTACTTGTTTACCAGTATCAAAATCACAGCCAGTTTCTGGAGTGCCAGAAGTTCCTTGACTCGCTGCAAGGGTCACATTAGAAGCTATTGAGAACTTCATAAAGCACGAAGAATCTGTTATCTTCCTGTTTGCTTCCAACATTTATGCTCAATGTTATATCCTGATATAGAGGGTTCCATTCGTGTCTATCAATGAAGAAGAGTGTTTATAGTAATTGAGCAAGTGACTTCAAACATCAAAGCTGAAGCATAAAATAAATCCAATGGGGAAAAAAAACCCCCACGTATAAGCAATTATCAACACTCCAAAAATGCATGACACTTAGCTCCAATAATCTTGCTTACAAAGGCTTTTAAGAATTAAGTGGCTATTTGCTAATAAAATTGATCTTCGTGTAAGAGATTAGGAACGTCACATAGTGTAGAGATCTGGTTCAACAACATTAACACTGCATCTGTTATCCCTCTGAACAGGTTTGTTGCAAGTAGAGAGAACTAGATAAGATTTTGATTTTCAAAAATAATCATTTCATCAATGAAAGTGCAAAAAGACGGCTACAGGAGAATTCTTTTAAAATTGAGTTAGTGTATATACTTTAATATGAAAGGACATACTCTGACTAATGTTG